GGTGGAAAGAGGTAGCAGTCAGGAAAGCAGAGGCAAAGACCGTCAGTTAACTAACTATGATTCGGAAGATTAGTTAAAAAATGCTTTAACAACGAATTGCAGCGCATTGTCGGGGAAATGTACATTTGCGTGAAAGAAGTGCAACAACACGAAAGGGAGATTTTCAACACATACATAGCAAAATGCAATGTCATTTACGCCAGTTACATAATCGTCGCTTACATGACGACGTCCATTTATGTGCTGGGGCCTACATTATTTCCAATGATCAACGTAGTGTCCGTCACGGAATATCCATTCGACACTAATCGCACGTCAATAAATATAATCGTACGTGTGCATCAAATCGTCGCGTGCTATCAACGCTGCTCGCACGTGTGTATGTGCATGTTCGGAGGATTTCTGATTTGGTTCACCGCAGCGAGGTTCGAGTGTTTGACTGCAGAGCTGAAAAATAACACGAATGATCGTACGTTGATCGTGTGCATTCAGAAACAGTTACGATTAAAGAGGTAAAGACACAGATTTGCTGTTCTACTGTATTAAAGGTCCGCTGTTCGTGAAATGCCGGAGAAATATAGACTAAGCTACAAATTTTGAAATACCTTGTTAGTTTCTAATATTTCAAACAACGCTTTTCTCTCGATATATATATACACATACACGTGTGTATAAATTAGGCACTAATTTCCGGAGATATCAGCGAAAATTTCGAAACACATTCTACTTTTTCAAATCATGTAAATTGTTTCGTAGACTTCACGAAATGATACAAATGTTCATATGATAAACATTCACGGTTTTTATAATCTTGAAATTGTCATCGAGCTGCTTTTTGAATGTGCTGCTTCCAGATTCCAAAATATTGACGAAAATCCGGGAAACAGTGGACCTAACGATACACTTGCATTCACTGCACGTGCAACTTGTATTTTCCTTCAGATACGCGGAAGATGTGATTACTTGTTTTCGTTTCACGGTACTCTTTGTTGTAGCGTTATGCTCATTCCTCATGACAATATGCGCCGTCGCAATGGTCACGGTAAGTAAAACATTTAATAAAAAGACCAATAACACGTCCAACGTGCTGATCGTGTGCAACAATTTTATAAACAGAATGCACCGGGAACCGCGAAAATG